TTAAAATATATATTTGTATTTTTATATATATATATATATATATATATATATATAATCTAACATTAAACCACAGACAAATTTGACTAAATTCAGATTAAATGAGCTTCATGCAGTAAAAGAGACATTAGTGACACATATCAGATGAATTCAATATTAATATGGTGAGTTGCGACATTGCTTGGTACCAATATTTTCATTTTTTATTTTATATTCATTTTTAAATGTTTAAATTTAAATTATTTTTTGAAAAATATATTAATTTAATTTTTTTTAAATACGTATATATTCATTTTATTTGTTTATTGATTACATTTAAATTATTTTTAAATATATATTCATTTTGTTAAATTATTAAATCATTTAAAAAAAAATATATTCATTTAATTTTTTTAAATTGTGTTTTTTATCCAGTTAATCTGGGAAATAATAAGTAGCTTAATTGATTAATAAGAAAACAGTTACTGGCATTTGATTTAAGGAGAAAACAACTTAAAAAAACAGCACATCTAATATTATTTTACAGGTAGTTTTGACTGTAAATTCAGATTAAATGAGCTTCATTCAAAGACTCCAGTGAAGCACATCAGATGAACTCAATATTAATGAGCTGTTGCTTAGTAACTGTAAACAACTGAACTAAGAAGTTGTTTCTTGACGTGACAAAAGCATGAGATCCAGACAGAAAGCGGTTGTGTTATCCTGCTGTATGAGGACTGAACCTCAGCTACTGACGCACGTTTTAACGATGTGCGATTTGACTTTATCGAGTATATTGCAAAAAAAACAAACAAAACACACCTACAGAGTGAAGTATAGTAGTTTAGACTAGCGTGCATTCTTTCACTGCATGATTCAGTCTGTTAAAATGCATTTAGAATGCTCCCAAAATTCAAGATATGGGGGCAGAAAATGTATATATTTATATTTCATATAGTTAATCAATATGACACGAAGAGTGCCGTTTTTTGGCTTGATTACAAATGTGATATAGAATTTATACAACAGTTCAATAAACAAGAAGTTAATATTAAGAGACTTACGTTGTAGACTATTGCACTATTTCGCCAACAAAAAATAATTCCAAACACAGCGCTGTTTTGCGTCTCTGAGCAACATGATGCTGTTTCGTTCCTGAATGAATCGACCGTTTAAATGATTCGTTTCAATCGCAGTGACTCACTTATTAACAGTGACTTGCTGCCACCTACTGGCGGTTTTAATTTCACATTTAAAGTATCTTTAAAAAAAAAAAAAAATTTCAAATATCAGTATTCAACGTTTTATGTTTAAAATATCAAAACAGTATTAATGCATGTGTAACTGCAGGTTAAATGCATTCATGTTCTGCATTAAACAGTGTGTAAATGCATCTAAATGTCCCTTCTAATGCAGCTTCTGTGTTTCCTCTGCATTGCAAAGATACATTTTGTAAATACTGATTTCATTTGCTTGGTAACAGCCCAAATGTCTTATTATTCTAATTGACTGATTAAATTTAAGAATTTGACTGAAAATATAATGCACACTTTTAGAAAAAACAGCTTTATACATGTAAAAATGCCCATTAATTAGGTAAAAATCTATTTAAACCTATTGGAAAATATTAATTTCTGTCACTGCTGTGAACTGATCACCACACAGAATATGAAGAATATCAAAAACTTTAGAAGTCAGTTTAAGATACCAGCACAATATCACACTCAGCAAAATATGGTGTAATTATCGTTATCGATAAAATCGCAGAAAATATCGGGATATCATTTTTTGTCCATATCGCACACCCCTACAGAGGACGTGTATAATCTGAGCGGTACGGAGGCTGAGCTTGATGCAGGAATCATGGGAACTCATCATCAAATAAACCTCGCTCTCTGCACTCAGGCTACATAATGTCTCTGTTCACACAGACGCGCGTGAATGATGTTCGAATGATGAAGTTGTGTGTGTGTTTTACTGACCGCTCCTGTTTGAGAGCATATTCCAGCATCTTTATCCGTCTCACCAGATCCTTCTTCAGGTTCTCCTGGCCTTTCCTCTCACCCTGCAGGAACGCAATCTGAGCCTGCAATAAAATATACATACTCATTATTTATACAGAGCTAGAAATGTGTCTAGAAAGAATGATTTTCATTACTTGGCTGGATACGGAGGTCCATCTCATCAAAACTGTTAAGAACATTTCAAAAATAAACTATATTTTGCATGAAGATTTTCCTGTGAAAGATCATTTCTGAAATTATTTTAATAGGCAATTAAGCACATTTTATCCCAAATGATAATTATTGTAAGTATGAATCATTGCAGTATGTGTTGTATCTAGGGATGGGTATCGTCAAGGTTTTCAGGTTTTAAGGTATTGCGCTTTCAACGTTTTATTATCAAACATGTCCCGCAATTTAGCAACAGTAAAGACGGCATCTTACAACAATCACCGATTGAGCTGATTCTGACGTTAAGTTTGGGTTTTAGGGAGGAATGAATGCGCACCGCTGTGTTGCTAATAGCAATAATGCATCATAGACAAATGTTTGAAAAACAACTGGCGACTCTGGTAAGATAGAATTTGCAAGATAATTTATATATAGCAATAATAAATGTATGTGTGTTTTATTAATTTCTCCAGTACCGATAGCAGAACCGTTAACGTTAGAGCTTATCGATACTCCGGTCTTTCATAATTTAGCCCCGGGACCGATTAAATACCGGGTTTCGGTACCCATCCCTAGTTGTATCGATTTTAAATCATGCTGTTTTTAAAGAAACAACAACAAACAAATAACCCCCCGAAAAAAGTTTTTTAATTTAAACAGAAAAAAAGAAAAAATTAGAAAAGAAGGAATTTCATCACTGTAAAAAATGATTTTTTAATTCACGCCAATTAAAAAAAAGGAAAAATTAAAATATAATAAAAAACTGAAAAAATGTTTTTCATTATTAGTGTAAAAGAGTTTTCACATAATAAATGCTTATTTAAATAACAGAACAGAAAAAATACAAATATAATAAAAAAATAAAAAAAGATTTTTATTACACTGTAAAAATAATTTTTTCAAATTAATTTTTTAAAAAAGAACTGAAAAATAAAAATACAAGACATTCCTGTGAAAAATTATTTATGACATTACTGTAATTGACAATTAAGCACTTTTTTATTCCAAATGATAATTACTGTAAGTATACATCATTGTAGAAGGAGTTGTATCAAATTTAACTCACGCTGAAACAGATATAATAGAAACAATAAAAATATAATACGAAAATGTAAAACTGAATTATTTTCAAATGAAAATATAATACCCAAAAATTGGGGAAAAAAACATAATGATTTTAATTAAACTGTAAAAACTTATTTTTCAAAATTGTAAATAAAACATTATTGGAGTACATTTTATAAGAGACTACTTCAAGCTTTCTACTCCAAAATGTCATCTTTAATTCAATGTGTTTCTTTGTGAAATTCTGAAAATTGAGAAAAAAAGTGTGTGTGTGTAAATATATATGTAGTTTTCATATCTGCTCTGGAAGGACAATACATCCATGCTATGTTCACGTGCGCTTGATTCTCACTTAATAATGATGAACTTGATAATGTGAACACATTTAGCATTCACACTGATATTATTAACACCAAACCTAAAGATACAGAACAAAAGCATACGTCATAACCTGACTGGATGCTTTTATGACGTTTATTTTGTGAACTTATACACTTTATACACACACACACACACACAAATTCTGTCAGAATGCTGTAATGCGATGGGAACCAAGGCCAGATCGATGTCTTGCGTAACACGGATATTTGCACACAGGAATGTTGATGAAGATGTGGAAAACATCCCAGCATTCTCAGCTCAAGAATCCCGAGCTCGTCCATCTGACGCCATCAACGGCCCGAACAGAACTGACGAAACCGTGAACAGAAGCTCACAAACACGCGCAAGAACATTTCAGTGAAAAATAATAGATTTTGCATCAGGAAACTCTTGTGAAAGATCAATCTGACCATTAGGACTTTTTATGCATTGTGACATTATTGTCATGACATGTTCATAGCAAACCTTAACCCTTTAACACGTGACCCGTGCTGGCAAAATGAGTCGGAATGAGCAAATTTCGAAAAATGAGTTATTTTTATTTTCACATTCTCCATTAAAATACATTCAAAATGATATATGACTAAAAAGGCCTGAGCTACAGCCGTTTGAAGGCGATAGAGTCAGCAGATCTGATTTAGAGAGAAATCACGTTCAAGTTTTCTGAAGATTCAAAAGCAAAATCACCAAGCAACATTGCATATTTTCCTCTCATTCTTTTCTTAATAATAATTACTATATTATTAATCACAATATAGCTATTTTTTATTTTATCTTCGTTATTAAAAATAAGAACAAAGATGCAAATAAACAGTAGTTTAAACAAGAGCAGTGAGTGATTCCGAATGTTTGATTAACATTGAGACAGATCTATATTGAGACCTACTGTAATGCATGGATCTAATATAATGTTGCACATCAGATTATTACCCACCATTAACTAAACGTTCATGTAAGACATAACAGATTATGTTTGTGTGAATCTCGCCATGACATATTTCGCAATAATGTGCTTTATAGAGAGATCGCGCGCGTGCTTTACAAACGTCAGTCAGCGCGATCGTTTTGTTTTCATCAGCATGGGTTTGAAAATCATATTTCACTGGTTTGGACTCATGTCATCGAGAATTCAATATGAATATTCACAAAGCTGGAATGCTGCGCTTTGCAACAGTACACCTACAACTGAGCAGAGAAAAAGGTACTCCTCTCAGAAAACATACAAATTAAGATCGTTTTAGATGTTTAACTCTTTCCCCACCAGCATTTTTGAAAAAAGTTGCCAGCAATTTTGATGATTTTCACTAAAATTTGATGGCCTCCAGTATATTTTGCTGTATGAATATTTGAAAATACAATACAATACATCAAAATAAAGATCAGAGCCTCTACTTTTAAACTGTTTACATAAGAGATCACACGTTTCTCCATCCTGTACACATGTGTTTTTGTTCGGGAGGTTTTGTACTCGTTCAGAAGATGCGTAATAGCGCCCCCGAGTGTATAACAGTGAAAACACGGAAAGCCGTAAAAACTTGTCTTTGGCGGGGAAGCGTTATCTTCTAAAAGACGAGATAACTCGTCAATGGCGGGGAAAGAGTTAATTACTATTTGGAGCATTGGGATCACTAGATGAGGGCTTAATTAACTCATTTTTGTGAAAACCTCAAATCCGACCAAAACTGACATTTTCACTTCTTTTGCCTGTAGTTTAAAATTAGACCGTGCGTATTCACACTCATTTTTCCAGCAAATTTTTTTCCAGCACAGAGTTTTTTTAGGTGGCCATTATTTCAGAACGTATCGCCTTATTGTTTCCATGGCGACGCGTCATGTTTGTCATGTGACACACCGCGGCCACAACAGCGCTGTATGTCAGATGTATCGCTTTTATTTCATTTTTCCTTTTTTTATTATTAATATTCACAAACGTGCTCACTATATTATTAAATATCTGATATTCCGATTCTGAAACATGTGCAAGTAAATGTATTTGGTTGTTTAAACACTTCTATAATGACCGTGTTAGTTGATCTTTACCGGGTGATGTTAGTTAGCTCTGAATGCGAGCTGTGGGATTAACACGTGAATTCATTCTCTCCTCCCGAAAGACACTAAAGTAAGTCTCCGGTGAACTGGGAGAAGAGCAAAGTACACTTTACAGTTACCTACACAGTGTGTATATGATATATGATAAAACATGTCGTCAGATTATATTTGTAAGGATCATTATTGCTAGTTCCATAGACATCAGCATGTATTTTACAAACTATAAATGTATTGTTTTGCTAGTACTTATGTGTATTTAAATGTCTGGAACCTAAGCATTATACAGAGATGCAAACAGGTAAGGGGGAAAAAGTTGAGAACATTGCAATGGATCTGTGGCATGCTCCACACGGAATTTCTTTTAAAGATATTTGCTTTACATGCTCATTTGTAGTTACTTTAAGGTATTTTATAAAATATTTTAATTACCTTATATGTCTAAAAGTGTAATTTTTCACACAAAAAAAACTTTTTTAACATCTTGTTGCAACATTTTACAAAAATCAAGATTGAATATATTTGGTCAAAATCCCATGTTATAAAAGATGAAGTGCTATGCAGGTTATTTAACACAATATTGGCTGATTAGACGGCAATGCTGAGCTAAAATGCTAAATGTTTGCCCTCTCTCTCTCTCTCTTCTTCACCGTTCACACATCTCTGACCTCAAATACATCAAATATTACCCTTTTAGACACAGCTTTTGAAGTAAAGAGTAAAGAAAATACTATGCAAAACTTATTGAAACAACCAGTTCTTTATTTACCCTTGTAAGACCCCCCTTAAATAAACTAAAATTCAAATAAAAAAAAATGCAAGTATACAATTGCAATTAGAGTATACATACTTTATCAAACTGATATAAATTTGACAAAATTTTGTGTCTAGAAAGAATAATTTCAAATTATCAAGAGCACTTCAAAAGAAAAAAATATATTTTGCATTAAGATATTCTTGTAAAAGATTTTTAAATTTAAAAAAAAAAAAGGCAATTAAGAACTTTTATCCCAAATGTTAATTAATGTGATGCAAAAAAGAACATTTTATTTTATTTGAAAAGTACCAAATCATAATATTATGTGTTGTACTGAATTTAAATTTAGCTGATTTAAATGTATATATATATATTTATATTTTAAAAATTATATTAAAATAAAATATAAAATGATTTTATAAAAACATGAAACTAAATATATTTAAAAAAAATAGAAAAAAAGGAATGATTTTAATTATCAAATCAAATTATTGAGAATGCCAACTTGGAATATTTAATTATGAAGAACTAACTGAATTATGTCTAGAATTTTGGAAGAAAATGCCAATCAATCAATCAATGCAAAAAAATCTTAATGGTCCTAAATAGGCTTAATTTTAAGTTTCTCGATGCAAAATATAATTTCCGTTTTTTCATGAGCTT